GCTCCTGTATTCTTCTTTAATTGTCTTTTCCTCCAATTCTTCTTTCGTTTCCCAAGAGACTCTTGAACTCTCTTCCTTTTATAATTTAACCTGATCCCTCAAAGAACTTAGTCTCAAATTCTGTCTATTAGTACACATAATCATTTTGATCATTACTTTAAACCTTGTGACCTTTCTACTTTTCATCTTGTATATCCTTGTTTGAAATGTTATTGTCTTCTTATTACACCTCTGTTCCCACTGACATTTTCTTCTAAGTAGCAATTGGTGTGTTATCTGACCTTATGGTCAGTGGAAGATGAATTCAGTGAGTAAGTATAATATTCATTACTCTGTTACCATTGGATACAGTAACTGTACACAAGATCAAGGTAGTGGCTGGTAGCAATGGCCCAGTTCAGTAAAGAAGAGCTTTCTTTTGTTGAGGATCTTCCTAAGCATGTGGAGATAGAGTGTCCAGTTTGTCTTAATATCTTGACAGATCCTCATCTGGTGAGCTGCTGTGGACATAATTTCTGTGGGTCTTGTATTGAGAGAGTAAAAGCTAGTAATGGATCCTGTCCTATGTGTAAAGAGAAGGAATATCAAGCAATACCTGACAAGAAGTGTTCACGCATTATCAATGGATTGGAGGTCTACTGCAGTAATAAGGAGAAAGGATGTGAATGGAAAGGAGATTTGAAGAATATGTCTACTCATCTTAATAAAGAGAAGAGAGAAGGAGAATGTCAATATGAAGAAGTAAAGTGTCGATATGAAAAATGTCAAAAGGGAAAGCAGCGTAGATATCTTAAGTATCATGAATATAGAGAATGTCCTCATCGCTTAGTTCTGTGCCCGTACTGCAGTAGTAAAGGTACATTCCTCTCTATTACAAAGGATCATTATGAGGAATGCAGGCAGTATCCTGTTACTTGTCCCAATAAATGTGTATCTACTTATATTCCCAGATGTAGTCTCACTGCTCATATCAATGAGTGTCCATTAGAGCCAGTAGATTGTGTGTTAAGTTGGGCTGGTTGTAATGATAAGCCATTACGTAAAGATGTACATGTACACACTGCTGATACTAAACACATGACACTATTAGCTGTAGCTTGTGGACAATTGAAGAAAGAAAATGAACAAATGAAAGAAGAAGTAAAAAAGTTAAAGAAAGAAGATGCTTGTTTTAATTATCGTGTTCATTCTGTTCTAGCTGATGATTCCTATCCTTTATTACCAGTTGATGTTACTGAAGGAAGACCAGCAGTTCATTTTTATACGAGTGCATGTGGTCAACACATGTCAGCTACACTGATGGGCGGGAATCCTTTATATGATATGGATGAGGTTTTACTACTTGCATTTCATGAAGGAAAATTTGATAAATTCAAACCAAAACTTCCTAAAATATTTGCAAAGTATGGTGATAAAGATACTTTATTGCTACTAGACACCGAAGCTACTTATGAACAATTACCTACTGATATTAGTAACGCTGTAGCGTTACTAAGTAGGATTCACCCCCAAACAAAATGGCTGCCACGACTTTTGCAGCCTTGCTATACTGGGAAAACGAGCTCCTATGCTTACCGGACTTTATAGAGGACCTTATCTTGACCAGAGGACTCCAATGGTACAACTGGCGTGGCTCTAGACCTTGTCTAAGCGAAAAGTCAAAAATCGGCGAACAGGCCGTTTTGTTCAGCCACCTTTTTTCATCTTCATCATCATCATCATCATCATCATC